TATTGACTATTTGATGATGCAATACGAAGATGGTTGCTATAATTATTTGTTCGTATTATTATGTATATACATTATACAGTTATACTGAGCCGGATTATAATAATTAAAATAACGCTTTGTTTCGATGAAAATGGATTTTGAAACATGTAACGACTTATGTATATATCGACTTAACTATGGCATCGATAAACCAAACTTGATAAACTGATAAACTGTATCTATAATTGTCAGCAATATGCAATAAATTAAAATTTTAACTATTTAATTATAAACGAATAAATAAAGAGAAAATAATAAATATAATATAATAATAAATATATATTCAATAAATTAATATTTTTCAAGAAATAAAGGTTTATTTTAAAAAAATTTTATTTCGTATCTTCCATTACTTTTTTTTTATTTTTTTGAAAGTACAGAGAAGCTTGACTTGCGCAAGCCATAATTAAGAATTCGCTTTGATTTAATTTTCCACTAAGTCTCAAGAATTCTGAAAGAACTCGAAATTCGTCCTTATCTTTTTATCATTTTTAATTTTAAAGGATGAAATCTAATTAATTTTCATCTTCAATAATTCAAACTGTTAAAAAAGGAAGAAATATGAACACTCTTTTCCCGGTAAAACAAGAGACCACAGTTATATACAATTTAGCAAATTTATACGAATCAGTCATTTTCTTTTTCAATTAAATTTTTATAAGCAATTTTTGACCGGAAAAACATTGCATCGCGATACAATCAACGTGTTACGTAATAATTCTGAAAAAATAACCTGGGAAACGGGATTAAACTTCCTGGTTTTCACGTATCTGCACTATTTTGTTCTGAAAAGAGAGAGAAAATTGAGAATTGAGGAAAAGAGAGATACGAAAACGAGAAACAAGTGCTTATATATTTTGTCGATGAATAACCGACAAATGCGAAAGAAAGAAATCGAGAGCGAAGAGATGAGCAGATCATAGTCAGATGAAATGTTAATTAATAATAAACTGTAAATTGCAAATCGGTTCGCGCGATTGAATATCTTGTTCTCGTATAATAAAACACTCTTATATATATATATATACTTCGACTGCATTGATTGCTATAATGGAACTTATTTTTCTGTATTCTTACGCCATTGCAGTATTTATCGAGCTTTGCCATTCATTTGACCGTACAATTGAATTTTTTTTTTTTTATGTCAATTAATTTTCATTGGCATTATGTTATTTTAACGTAAAATAATATAATATGAAAATATTTTTATTGTATAACAATGATTACGCATTGTAATATTTTATCTTTTGAAAAAGATTACTGTTGAAAAACTAATATTGTTATTAACGTTTATGTTGAGAAATACATTCATAGATTATATCAGTGGACTAGATAAAAGTGCTAGATAACTTCAACATTGCTAGGTATATATATTTTAACCTACATTTTTTAATAAAATATTTCTAGTAATCATGATCACTCTTGGACAATTTTATATCTAATTGTATATCTATAAACTTTTAATATGGCATATTTCATATGAAGTTTAAATATTATAATGTAATTTTAAAGTTTTTTTAAAAAAATTTGCACATTTCATATGATAGTCTTTAATAAAAATAAAAAGAAAACATGTTGCTCTCTGACAATATTAATCTATTATTCTAATATATATTTTTTAAATGGAATATCTTCAGTAATCATATCAATCAATCACCTTTATTGAATTTCTTTATAAATTTATAAACTCTAATAATATGACATACCTCTTCTAACCTTAAATACTATACATTAGTGCATCCATAATTTTCCTGCAAAAAATTGATTATTAATTATTCTAATTAGAAGAAATAAAAAAATAAAAATAGAATATATTACTCTCTAGCAATATTTTTTTCATTTATCTCTAACCTATATTTTCTGAATAAAACGTTTTCAATAGTCATAATCATTCTTGTTAAATTTTTCTACATATCTATAAATTTTCCAACATAGTCTTATCCTCTAAGACTTAATAACTATATATACTAAAATACTCATAATTTTAAATTTCCTTAAAAAAAATTTTAATTTCCTATGACAATCTTCAATTGAAAGAGAATGGTGGAAGGAGAAAGTGTCGTCCTCTAGACAATCACCAATATTAGTCTGTACATTTCTTCAGTAATCATAATCAGTTGTATACGTACAGATTCTCATATATTCGTAACATTTTTTAACATTTTATATTATTCTCTCTGGAAATTAATTAATATACAAATAATTTTAAAATTCTTATAAGTTTTCCATCTAAGAAGAAAACGAAAAAATAAAAACAGAAAGTGTCGCTATCTTTAATATCCATTAATTATTATCCATCATTTTTGAGGTTAAATATCGTTCGCACAACAATCGCGTCGTATTTCGATATGTTTGCGTTTGGACCAATGGCAAAGCTCGATTGCGTATTCACACAATACGGTTGGGCATATAATTAACAGACGACAGCAAGCGGGTGTAAACGGGGATTCGCGTGAAAGTAATTAATTGTCCTCCCGTCACACGTGACAAGGAAACAGACCAATTAACCTTGCCACTTGCCGATCCAGGCCAAAAGTGTTTAATTTCTAATTGTTTCTCCATGCACTTAATGCCCGCGTCAATATTCGATGCCCCCGCCGTTAACGAGTTTCGTTAACGACCTTTCTCCATTGGTTGGTTGGTATGCCCGTTATTACGATGTTTACCGTGTTTAAGCACTTTCTCTCTTCATTCTTCGCCTTTTTTCTCTAATTTTTTTGTGTTGTGTCTTTTCTTTGTTCACATGTAATCTTTCGTAAATAAAGTGGAAATGTGTAAAAATTTGGATAAAAATATTCTTTAATAATTCTAAAATATACAATAAGTAATGTAAAATACAGTGACTAACCTCATAAATATTTGGAAATTATTTTACGTGTTATATCATTTGAATTATTAATTAATTAAATCCAGATATATTATATTTCATCACAATAGTGGTTTCGTGTAATTGTCAAGGTCTTATGAAGTATAATACAGGATGTTGATTGAGATTTATTAATTGAGTTGTGAGCAATTCAATTAGCGTTAGATGAAACGAGACAAAAATAGAATTGTTTTCTAGAATAAATAAGACAGAAAATAATTCTCTTACCAACATAAATATTATTTTGAATATTGAAATATTTAGAATGTTGATATATTTATGGGATATCTTTGGAAAATCGAAAATTGATGAATAAAAATTTACTTACAATCGAATTACAAGCAAATTTATTTGATGAAGTGAAGATAGATGATAAACAGTGTCTTACACTATGATTTTGCTAATATATTAATATCCTTTATATTATTTATATTTTATTTCGTATGTTTTTACTATAACTGGAAAGATGTAATAATATGAAAGTAAAATCTAAAATATAACGAAAAAAATATTTTATCGAAAAATAAAGATATGTGCAAATACAAAAATTTTATAATCACTGTATTTCATATATAAAAATCGACATGTTCAATATTATAGAAACTTTTTCATGCAGTTGACAGTGTACAAATTTATATTTCGGAAATAACGTGTGTGTATATATATATATACATTATACACAATATCATTCATGCTATAATTAAGAATAGAATGAGTATATATCAAAAAAATAATAATAATAATAATAATAATAATAAATCGAAAATGTAGAATAAAATTTATTCGTTTAAAGTAAGTACCTATAAGTAAGTACATTCAAACTTCTGTTTCAAATTTGTTAAAATAAAATATTTATCATATTGCACAATTGCTTTTATATATTCATAATTATATTGTAAGGAAAATATATCTAAATTATAAAATTATATATTATAGAATTTGTATTTGTCTAAATTTTTTTATATAAAATATTTTTGAACTCTTCCATCCTTATTATTAAATAAAAGATAGAATACTTAGAAATACCAACATTTTCTTTCATAAAAATTAAATAAATAAATAGAATTATTCTTGTTTTTAAAATAGAAAAATAGAAACAAATAAAAATTTTCTATTGATCTAATAATTTCGAATTGGATAAAAAAGAATGATCTTTTTCTTAAAATAAAAAAAAAATAGCACAATTCAAATATAATCAAAATAAATCAATCTAATCTAATTTAAGAGCAATCAATGATAATCAATTTCTATTTTTTTAGAAGAATAAGAATTTCTTGGCTAACTGAATGAAACATGTTGCAACCTCGTTAGTTTTGAAGACAAATTTATAGGCCATCCATAAAAAAAGAATCCAATTATTAAAAAAGAATGTATTTGATTATTTTACTCAAAAAAAGCTTGAATCCCTTTTTGCATCCAACCGCAAATACAATTATTAAAAATATAACTCACCTTGTACAATCACTAAAAATATTAAATTTCGCTTTAAATTCACGTGACATCCACGCTGAACGCCAGTAGGTAGATTTTGAATGACATTAAATCAGTCTAATCTAATTTAAGCTCCAGAGCCTTGTAAAGTCTTTCTCATTTCACGTGGCGCTCCACTACACGTATATATACACACACAGCCAATACAAACATCTTCGCGTCTCCTCCTTTGAAAGGGAAGTGAAGGGAGATGAGGGACGTCATATTAGATCTGTTAGAGATGTCGTCCTTTTAATAACACAAGGTAAAGGAATGGCACTGGCTTCGACGTCTTCTGCACTTCTTACACGTACTTTAAACATGCATAAGTACGTCTACTAATCTGCGAAAACAGGGCATCGACGGTCCTCCGCCTCCTCTCAACGCCAGGAAGGAAATGCTCGCGTGCTGATTGCAAAGTAATTGCACGCTACTCGTGTATATTCGTGTGCATTGTTCGGTTGTCTACCCGTCAAGCGCAATGGATAACAAGAAACTAATCGAATTGGGTTTGAGGATATATATATATATATATATATATATATATATATATATATATATATATATATATATATATATATATATATATATATATATATATATATATATATATACCATATAAGCTAGATTTGACAATAAAAGTGTCATGGTTAAATTATCGTGTATTTGAATGGTGAATGTTAAATATACTTTTTTTTTTTTACAAGTTATATACTGATATTAATTATATTTATTGTTGAAAATAGTTTTAGTATTGACTCTGTAGAACGGTGTTTGAATAATGTTATTAAGGTTAAGATCATCAAAATATCTATTTTCAATATTTTGAAGATTGATTGAAATATCTTTCTTTCTTTATTTTAGAAATGATTCAAAATTGTTCATGATCTTCAAAAATCATCGAAATGTTTTCCTTTTAATAAATTTGAAAATGATTTTATGGAATGCTTTTCAGAGCTTCATTCATGATTTTAGAAATTATTGAAATGTTCGTTTCGATATTTTAATAAAATCATTATCACTATGAATGTTATCTTTTCAATTATTCTGATGATAATTTTGTGGATTGATCTTCAGAATTATTGTGTCATTAAAATCATTGAAATTCTCTCAATATTTTCTCTATCTTTAGAGAAGAAGATTATTGATCAATATCAAAACTATCACGATGGAAGTTCTGAAGGTCATCCTCCTTCGAAACCATTTTCAAAGTTGTCGAAGAGGATAGACAAGACGATGATATTGGAGCATAGTTTCCCAAAGGAAGCACTTTGAAGGTGACCATAATAGAATTCAGCAATGAAGTAGTAATTTTACCACGATAAGTTCATCAACTTTATCGAGATTTATAAGATTAAATCTTTATTTTTTTATTTCTGAAATTTCTTTCTAAAATTCCACCAAAAATTTAATTTCATCTATTTTTACCTTTTTCGAATCGATATTTTTCTCTTCTTATTTAATATTTTTATCATAACAGAGCTCCGAATATTTATACGCGTAAAATACAAGTCAAAACAAGTAAATAAAATATGTGAAATATAACGTGAACATTTTACATGAAAACATACGAATATACGTAAAATTATAGAGAATGTGAAAATAAGTAATTAATCGATGACCTTCGTCAATTAAAACTAACTCGACGTATATTTACAGAGAGATATGTGTATATTTAAATTTGCTCCAGAAGCGTCATTCAATTTATGCCAGCTTTTCAATAAATTTTACCTTTCGAAATTTCACTTATGTTTGTAACATAATTTGGATATATAAAATCATCGTTCAAAACTGAATTTTATTTTGAGATATCATACTTTCCCAAAAATTTTTAATCGTGTCGATTAGAAATTCTCTGACACTGTTTTAGCGGAGCAGTTAATATTAATTTATTCAAAAATTTACTCGTATTTTCGATAAATATCAATACAATCTTTGATTTATATCGAGTTTTATAAAATAAATATGATGGATGAATATAAAACATGCCTTTTAAATATACTTTTGAATACATGTTTAAAAAGAATATACGTGAAACATGGAAAATATGAAAAATATGTAAAATAAACAATATATGATTAACAATTTTCAAATATGAAATCAATTTTTTGATTTTTGATTATATGATCTTTTATCTCTCGTTCTATATGTTCTTCATTAAAGAATGATACTTTTTAGAAAAGTGCTCATTCTCGAAATACAAAAATATAAATATTCTTCCTACATTTCTTCAAAAAAATTATATATAAAAATAAATAATTATGAATAAAAGAATATTTTTTTTTTAAAGTTTTACTAAATTTTCTAAAAAATAATAATTACTTATAAAGATATAAATAAAATTTCAAAGTTTCTTAAAAAATAAAATACAAAGATATAAATAACTATGAATGTATTTAAAAAGAAGAAATTTCTGAGTTTCTCTAAACTTAACCTAATCTAATTTTACTGAGTTTAACTTACATTTCTCAAAAATTATTATTTATAAATAAAGTTGTAAAGATGTAAAAGATCTTCAAAAAATATTAATTATACACAAATATAAATACGAAAATACGAAAGATTATTTCTAAGTTTCTCAAATAATAATAATAATAATAATTATTATTATTATTATTATGCATAAAGATTCGAATAATAAATGCACATAAGAAAAAATCTCTAATTATTTAATTAATAATTAATAATAATGAGTGCAATGTCTAGGTGACCAGGAGCCAGATCGAAAACGAGGTTTACACAGGATCGTGGAGTGGTCCATTGTCGTCGACAACGCAACGAGCTCTCAATTTCCGTCCGTAGGTAATCACGGTAGGGAAGCCGCACAAGGTATACGGCTTAAAGCGAACTCCTTGCCGATAGTTAATTATTGCCGAGCAGAACTGATTTGCAAGTACGTCGTTTATAATCCACTTAAGTTCTAATCGAATCCTGACCGGTATCGATACAGACAATCGTATCCCACGATTCATCCTCAATCGAATCGATATCATTCGTTTTCTTTGAGTTGCATATTTTGAACATTGAACGTCATTTTTAATATTAATCAATTTTTTCTTCGATTTCTGTTCTTAGCTACGAAAAAAAGAATAGATCTGAATTTTCATCAACAAAATATTTCTTCTTTATGATTGTTATTTATAATTATCCAATAAAATTCTAATTTAATCTTTAATTAGATTCTTAATTCTTGAATTATATTATATTATTATATCTATATATTATATACTATATATTTTATACTATATGTTAGATACTATTCAATCAAATCATAAATTATAGATGAAGTCTCTAATCTTTGATCAATTTTTTTCTTGTGATTTTTGTTTATGATAAAATAAAAATACTTACTTATATCATTTAATAGATCTGAATCTTCTTCAACAATATTTGTTTTTCACCATTATTATTAGAATTCAGTTATATCGAATAAAATTTTTTTGAATTTATAAAATCCTAACCTAAATTTTAGTTAATTCCTTAATCCTAGAAACATGTCACTATATTAATACATTTAATCATAAATTATAAAATTATATATTATAAAAGTTTGCAATAAATAAATATATTTTAATTTTTTTACCAATTATTTGAAAAAAAAAAAGAATTGAAAGAGAAACATCAGAATATTTCGACATAATTCCACATTTATATACATGCATACTCACATATCTATCTACTTATCGGTTTCACAAGGGAAAGCAATGCAAATATATTACGATGAAGAACTTAATGCTGTTATCGTAAAGCGAAGAATACCCACGTATTAAAAAGATCGACATACCAAAAGAACGACCGAAGAAAAATGGAAAATAGTTCAGCGGCCAATTACTGGTGGAATTTTTACGGACGATTTAACGCCGCTTACCTTCGTTTCTCTTGCGAAACCTCTCCGTTTCCATGGCGCCCTCTTCCTTCCTTTTCAAGAATCAACGGAGAAGGAAACGACGAGAAGAAAATAAAGAAGAGATGGGAAAAATTAGCTTGGGATCTCGTGGAAAATCTCGTGTCCTGATATTTGCATGTGATCTCTCACCACAGGTTTTACGGAGAAAAGAAGGTACACCGAGCTCTTGAAAAACGAAGGACGGTAAGATTGAACTATTGACTTTCCACTTCTTTTTTTATTATATTTTTTATGTATGTTGATAAAATTTATCGTGTTTTTTCTTTTCTTTTTAGATTTAACAAAGTTCCTAAATAATTTTTATGAATTTTTAATAAATAATAATATAATAAGCTATATTCAATTAGATTAGGTTAGATTGCAAATGAAATGATTGAATACTTAAAACTATTGATATTTGTAGATTTGTTGAGAATAACATTAATTGAGAAGCTTGACTCGATAAATTTAAATAAGATTAGAATAATTACAATTATTTTGAATAATTTGGTTGTAATTAGATATTAATTTTTTTGTATGTTTTAAGATTATATTTATTTTTCAACGATTTTATTAATATTAACAGTGATTTTTTTATAGGTTATGTTGAATTTTCAATCCATAAAAAAATACTCGAATTTGATATTGAAGTATAATTTATCATAATACATTAATTGTTTCTTTATGCTACAAGACAATTGATAAATTCAAGTTGCATTCATCGAGCTTCAAAGATTTAAATTAATGTATAACAAATATCATTCAATACATCATACATTCAACGGTATATTTAGTCACATATTTTTTAATATCTTTACAAATTTATGAAATCAATCATTTCGTATACAGCAACTTAACAGAAATTATTGAATCGAAGAAATTATTGAAGGCGAAGTTAATCGATAAGCAATCTAATAGAAGTTATCGAATCTAAAACGAAGTCGTAATTGAATAAAATTGAACATCACGAATAGTGTATTTCTTTGGATTCTTCCATCTGATGTATTTCTCTAAATTCTTTCATATATTTCATTAGATCCACTATTTTTTTTTTTTTT